CTGACAGTTCCACGATAGCCATCAATCGACACGCACGTGAATACAGTTCGTTCTAAATTATCAGTCAATACCGTATATCGTGTGTTTCATTTATTATTTTAAATTAGTTAATCAAAGATGTGACTAGTCTATTAATTAATTCTATATACTCTTCTCTTTAAACTAAAGTCTTGTACATAATAACAAATGAAATAAATATTCGTCCTATGTAATATTATCAACATTCTGTTTTAATGTAATATATCAGCGTTTAGCGCATACGGTCTTATCGGCGGCCGTCTCGGCGGTCTCAATATTATATTATATTATATATTAATCTAATTAAGCTATCACAACCCACCGTCGTCTTCAATCGTTATTATCGCTATTATTGTATTTATTAGATACTCATTTTAATATTTACATTCTAATCAAAATGACTAACAGAAACAATAACATTATAAACAATAATAATAAAGATATTAGTAAATCAAATAACACCGTATTCCCATTAACAATTAGTAAAAAAAAAACCTCCAACTCATCACTAAACTTGTATAAAGAAAGGTCAGATGGATTTAGAAAAATTCAAAACCTAACTTAACGATTATAAAACTAAAAGACAATAACAATATCAAACAAAATATTGTTATTCTGTGTGTTAACTATTGTACTATAATTATTCTAGAATTTAACCTTAATGATTAATTTTTAACGGCTACGTCTAGATTGACAATTTTTATTTTTGGAGTTGATCATAACTTTGAAATATAAGGATCGAATGAAACCAATTACATCTGAAAAAAATCTTTATTTTGTTATGTTCATGATATGTTTCTAATATTATACTCTCTAATACTTATATAATATTTATTGCTAATCTTAAGAATTTCTTTTAACAATTGTTTTATAGAAAATAAATTCTAATTCAATACATATACAATGTAATGTTAATTTTTAGTGATTTCGTATACGTACAAATAAATTGTAGAACGTTTTCGATTTGAAATATTCTGGTGCTCGCGTTGTCATGAAGATTCTGAATTTGAATTTTGATTTGACGATTCAGTTATATTGGGTTATTTGGGTAGCAATTATTTTTCAAATATAAAATGTTTTCATAACTTGGATACATATATTGGTTTTCCATAACATTGCTAATTTCCTTACATTTGTGTACTGCTGTTCCGTCAAATTATTATTTAATGTAAAAACTATTTCCTCATTTAGTGTGTAAGGTATTGATAGAGAACTTGAATTAGCGTTTTTTATTTTTATTGGTCTAGTTGGTGAAGTAAATGATTCTTTAAATAACATGGACCAACTTCTGAAAATTACTTTGAGCAAAATAAACTATATCTGGTGACGTGTATGATTTTAATAGACCTTTAGTTTTTCAATTTTTGATTTTTTCGGTTCATTCAAAAAATATTTTGGGTGGTCAATCAACTAACAAACCTGAAGAAAAAGGAACTAAGAGTTATATGTTTGGTATAATAAGTTCTGTTTTAAACCACTGTTTATTATTTTTGTATAAATTATTTAACTTTCTACCACTTTTAGCCCATAGCCTTGTCAAAATTACAACATGAATACGAATTTTTTCCATTACATGTTTTTCATACAAAATATCAAAATGTTTTACATAATATTTATTTTTTAATAAATTTATAATAAGTTGGTTGGATTGATTATTTTGAAACTAAGAGTTTTCATCACGCAGCCATTTAAATAAATCTTCATATGTATGGTTCACAGCTCTATGGTTTTATCACCAAATTATGCTATTTTTATTAATCAGGTTGAAAATGTACAGTATAAATTCCTTAAATTAATTTGTAGTAAATTCAATTTGGCTATTCACCGACATTCATATCACCTATAATCTACCCATCTAGGGATAGATTTATGTGAATTAAGAAGGAAAATTATAGACTTAATGTTCTTGATCGATTTACAGAATGGTAACATAAATTCCCCCGAGCTACTTTCTCTGGTTGATTTTACTTTAGAAATAATGGTTCGAGGTCACAAAATGTGTTCATCATCCCATCTTATAACGCTAACTATAGTTCCAAATTGTTCTTTCCTGTGTTCTTTCTTTATCTAATAATATTATTAACCAGATAGATTTATTTTTTATGTCGTGCTATGTTTTTAAACACAATATGCAGCATACATTTCATCTGTTAATTATTTGTAATTTTATTATAATTCTAGTATCGTATCTGTTATTTTTAATTATTATTTTATAATGTATATCACTTATCATGTATTTGTTATAGTTCTAAATTTTAAATTTGATTTGCAATGTATTACTTACTGTATTACTGTTCTAATGTTCTAAATCAGCGGTTCTCAAACTTTTTTTTCGCGTACTACATGAGTATATTATCAATCAGTCACATACCATTAATGATTAAAAATAGAACCATACAAACTTCACATGGTTAAATATATTTATTTTAAATAAATAGGCAGCAAAATACTAAAATAAAATTATTGTGTTTCTAAATTAATATATGAGATAAATATTGAATTTTTAATTTCTGTTCTACCACCATGTATATGTGGTTTGTCGCGTACCACTATGTAGTCTTTCGCGTACCACAGTTTGAGAACCACTGTTCTAAATGATTCCTACCCGTTTACAAATAAATAAATAAATAAAAATAAATATGTATAATTTGTTATTTTTCTCTCTATACCCACTCAAATCGGCTGTAAAAATATAAATAAAAACTACGGCTGCAAATGGCTGAAAGTGAAAGTTATACCATTAAAAATATGCGAAGTTTTAATATTGGAAGAGATTATTTGTGAATAGTTATTATTAGTTATTCTCAAAAGACCTTTCATAGAAGTTTAAAAATAAAGTAAAAATTCAAGTTTACCAATTTTATTTAGTTTATTAATACATAACTTATAAATAAATTATGATATGAATTAATCAAACTATATTTAACTTATCTTATAGATTACTTTCAATATAAGATAAAAAAAAAATCGTAAATAGACCAACATTGTAGTCACAAAAATTGTTTGAAAATCATGTTGAACGACCGGTTCAGATGATGTCAAAATCAACCTACTCATGAAGTTAGATTACATACGGATTCATAAATGATACTGAGTACTATGTTTATATTTGAATAATTGTGTTAACAAATTATACATTATTTTCAAACTATTTTAAAATAATTATTTTTTTCACCTAAAATTTAATTTTAGACTACTATGTTGTGTACACACTCCGATCACATATTATTTACTACTAATGAGTTGCGGGGTGAAAAGGGACTAAAGAAGCAGACGTTCTTTCTAATTTTGAATAAACTCGTATTAATATTTTGTGTATACTGTCGCGACCCACGTACTTAGATAATAATAATACCATAATAACCCTGCATTGCATATGGGTATACATGAGTGTGCAACGATACATGTAATAAATTAACTCTTATAAATATTAAAAACCACATCTATCAAATGTCATACACCACACAAAGTTCACGCAAGGAAATAAATAAATGATTATTGATTGTTAAAATAACCACATCCACATTTTCACACAAATGTCGTCTAACGAGGAAACATTATTCAAATAATCACATTTGTGAGATAGATTGAACTATACACATCATCACATTATACACACACATTTGCGTCAATCAAAAGATTAACAATTTTTATTATCGTTTTTCATATACATACACACACACACTTGCGTCCATCGGATATATTAGGGACCTGGAAACAAGGGCAAATCAGACAAGTTCTTGCTATGCGACACTGAGCACCTTCACGCTAGTGTATGTAATGATCTGGACTTAGAATCTCAACAGCTAAATCAAATATCTGGACTTAGAATACTTTAGAAGAGTTTAAATTAAATGTTTGAACCTAGATTATTTTCATCACAGTTTAATATAAGAACTTGGAATTTTAACAGCCAAATTAATTAATTTTCCTTAGAATAATTTTTAATAGTTTAATAAATTTTTTTATTACAATTGGCATTAATTATTTACAAAATTATACCTACATCCAAGCGTTGAATTCAGAGTAAATTTTTCAGTTACATTTACATAGTAAATCACTGAGGTTCGATCAATCGGTTAGCATGCAACAATACATATGCTTTAGAAGCAGTGAACTATTCTTATTAATAAAACGATAATGAACAATAAGATGATATACTACAATTATATGACTAAACTAAGCCAGAATATATACTATTGAAATTAAAAATCTGTGCATTATCTTCAGTTAAATTAAATATTGAGTAAATAAGATTATATGGATAAAGTAACAAGTGTTTTTGTACTTAATTAAATATATGTACCTATTTGGTATGTTTGAGAGTGAAATGTTTTTTGTACGTTCGATCAAATATTCCTTTCTGGTGAACCGGTCAGAGGTGTATGTGTGTGTGTGTGGGGGGGGGGGGGGTGATTTGGGTGTTAGAATAACCCCATCGACCGTATTTCATGGTATTTTACCAAATTGCAAACTAATTACCGTATAATGTATAATTTAAATAAACTTTGTATACAACTTGTAGATTTTACATATAGGTACTATCTTAATAAAATAATTTTCATTAATGTAATTTATATAAATACATGGTATTTATTAATTTAATATGAGGGGCATAGCCCCCCTACTACCATAAGTTGATTACAATTTAAAACAGCCTCGTTAAATGTATCCTGGATTCGCCACTGTTACTGGTGACTAATATATTTGTATTTTTTATGTTAAAAAACGGTTCACCTCACCGTTGGATCTCATACGCGTTTGGAAATCCACATAAGATGGTGGCAACATACGTATTGGATCCCCTACTCTGTTAATATCGGTCTGGGCGTAGCTTGTCTTTAATACCCCAAATTTTTTATTCCGGAGACGGTGACATGCGCGAATTATATGCCACACAACAATAATTATTATCATACACAACACAAGTCGTGTGCCTGATGTTTGAGGAACAGAAATTATTACATCGTCGATGTACTTACCAGGCATTCGAGTCCACCGGTGCAACACACGAAATTTGGACTCACATTTAGTTATCCGGATTGAATTAGCATCGCACCTGAAAATGGCGCGGTTTTAATTAGTTTACTCAGTAATGGCACGTATGCGAAAACTAGACATAAACAAGTCGTGTAGCTATTCAAGGGAAAACGCAATTCACGACTCCATATTGACGTGTTGGAAAAGTGAGAACATCCACTTTTGCGTCAGTGTTAAATTAATTATGAAAATGAGCAAAATACAATTATTAACACAATTAAGTAACACATTAGATATAACCTATGTATTATTGTAAAATGTCGTGGAACGGTAGAATATTTAACATTCGTTTATTATAGAAAATCATGTATAAGAGTATATATCATACGGTATTGCGTGGTGGTATTATATAACGATGAAAAAAAAATATGTCAATGTATGTGTGATTGTAAATATTGGTAAAAATATTAATACAATAATTTAAAATATTTTTCAAAGAAATTAAAGTACAAAGTATTTCCGTTTTAATATGTAGTTAATTAAAAAAAAAAAGAAAAAAATTAAAAATATGTTTTTCCGTCTCCTATATAAAATTTTTATAATTCTTAGAATCCTACAAATTTGTATATATTTTGATCTATCTGTTTATATCATTATAAAAATAGTTGAACAAATTTAACGCTTTTTTTTTTTATTTTCATGTGCTTGCTGCTGTAACATTTAATTAATTTTTTTGTGTCCATATATAAACTGAAATTGTAATATTACTATAATTAAAAATATTATTTTATTAAAGAGAACTTGCAATTTTTTTAATAGATTTTACTAAATATTTGATTTATTTTCTATAAGATATGCAATTTTTTACAAATAAAACATAGCAGATTAATAAATTTGCCACACAAATTTTTATTATATAACTATAACAGTTTTACAGATTCTAAACGTTCACTTAATTCTTATAAATAAAATATACTTTATATAGATGCATAGGTATGCATACTGAGATACATACATACATATATATATTTAATAATTTTGTATAAAAATAACAATTAAATAATGATTTTATAGTTCATATCTCCCATAAATAACACAAATGTGTTATATCGATTTCTTTTTTATGAAATTTATATATATATATATCACTTATCATAAATTGAAAGGTGCATATTATTAAATTCCTATTGAAATGTATACATATACTCAATAACATTTATTTTAAACGACAAACATAAATGATACGTTATAATATATAAATGCACGTATTGCAATTCAATGTAAATTATTATTATTAAAGTTAAATCATAATGTATGAAATGTAATACACCTTATATGCATTTCGTTTCCTTAAGAGCAAATGTCAAAACCGAATGGCCGTTCAAGTCTAGAGTAGTTTATGAGTTACTAGACTATTTCATTTTACTCGCTTACTATAATTGCCAAGGTAATCACTCTAATGTATTCGTCATAAAATGAAAATTTAGTTTTTACTTGAATGTATTAAACAAATTTTAATATTAGAAACAAAAATATTCTTTATATATATATATATATGTATATATATTATATTAATAAGAGTTTATAATGTACATAAAAAATCTGAAAATGATTATTCTTTTATTACTGTAATCTAGCACATTAAATAGTTGGATTTAAAATAAAATAAATGTAACAGCAAAATCGTAATTTGAATTTCAAATAGTCTTAAACCTTTGTGAAAATATTAAATTCTAGTTTTAAACATAGTGTAATGAATTAAAATAAATTTTTTAATTTAGTTTCTGTAAATTAATATCGAAAAAATATATTTATTTACAAATATCAAATATGACAATCCTAAAATTAAAATAACTAATTTTATTTTAAATAAAATAATTAAATTTAATTAAATTAATATATATGAGAAGTGTATTTCAATTTACTCTTAACTCAAGAATTATATTTATTTTTTTTTATAGAAGGATGTATTATAAGCGCTGAAACTAATTTGCTTTCCTTATTATCACAACATCTATCCGAAAATATCACATATTTTTATATTAAATCTGAGTAATACTAATTTTCAAAAATAATCAATAAAAATAATTTAAAAAACATTCCTGGTTTGATAATTGTATTATGTTCGAACATATTTTTTTTACTGAATACATTTATAAAATAATTATTACATTCATTTTTAAATTAAATAAAACATTTCTATGAAACATTCAAGTTTCACAACATACATAAATATATTAAGTATCTAAAATCTCGTAAATACTAAAATACATGACACGAAAAAAGTGGATAACAGATAACATTTACATTGACATTACTACCTTTATAGGGTAATAAACGAATAATTTTAAGTATGTTGGTTATTTTACATTTTTTTTTTGTGCTATAATTGTTTAATTTATTTTTTTTATAATTTTATGATACATAATTGATAATAATATATATTTTATTAATGTTTGTATTATTTTAACATTTTTTAACTCTATTCACATCTTTTATAGAGACGAAAAAATAATATATTTATTTAGGTATTAATAATATTCCAAGATAACCAATTATTTATTTATTTCTATACATAAACTATTTATTTATATATATATATATATATTAATTTACGAAAATTAACTATTAACTATTTTTTATTATTATTATTTTATTTAAATATATATATTTTTTTAAAATCTATAAAGTTATCTAAAAAACAAGAAATTTATTTCCTTTAATGAGCATACTAATGAACATAGTAAAATGAATAATAATACACTTTTAGTATAGTAATATTCATAATATGAATAATATAATTTGGTATAGTGCCTGTTGGTTACACTTAGTAAAAACAATAACTAAATTAAAATAATCCAATAAAAATATGTGTTAATTAGATAAAAAACATTTAATAATATTAGTTATAAAAACATGTATTTATTTGTTCACAAAACATTAACAAATAAAGTTGATCAAATATATTAGTTATGTCTAATATAATGGAAGTTGATATCAAATTTTTATAACATTTTAAGGAGTGGAATTTAATTTTTACCTTAGTTTTAGCGATGATACCATATATGGATATTTATTTTTATCGATAATATAGAACATATGTGGCAATTATGTTTTTCGACCATTTATTCGTTGTACTAAATATTCATTGATTATACATAACTGTTTGACTGTATTTGAATCGGGTCCCGAGTTTAAAATTACTACATTAATTGGGTCTCAAATTATTTGAGGTACTACACTAGTTGGGTCTCAAATTATTTTAGGTACTACACTAGTTGGGTCACGGATTTTTATAGGTACTATACTAGTTGAGTCCCGTATTTTTATAGGTACTACACTAGTTGGGTCCTGAATTATTTTAGGTATACACTAGTTCCTAAATATTTTTTGGTAAATACTACATTATACTAAAATTTTCCTTCCCATTTTAACAGACTTAAAACTTTCTATGATCTATTTAGACCACAGGTATGGTTAAAATTGTTTTTTATTGTTTTTTTTTTTTTGTTTTTTAGTTTCTTTTCCATTAGTTTTTATTTATATTATATAATGATTCTAAAATTATTAATATTTTTTAATTTACCTACGTGGCTATAATTATACTATATTATATGTATTTTATACTTGATTTTTAAAATTGTTAATATTTTTACCAACACAATTGTAATAATTTATATTTTAATGGAAAAAAAACTATAAAAACTATTTTAAACCATACACGTCGTCTAAATAGATACTTACCAAAAAAATTTCAGAAACTAGTGTAATAACTAAAATAATTCAGGACCCAACTAGTGTAGTATCTATAAAAATCCGGTACCCAACTAGTGTAGTACCTAAATTAATTTGGGACCCAACTAGTGTAGTACCTATAAAAATCCTGGACCCATCTAGTACACTACCTGCGATTAGCCCCTATTACTCGGGACCCAACTCAGATGCTCCGAATTATTTATGGTATCGATAAAATGTATATTTACCTTATTTTATTTTTAATTGGGCAGGATAACCAATGTCTTCCCACTGAAGTATGTGTACATAGAGTACGATTTAATTTGGTACATTTAAATTTAATGAGAACTTCGATATAATTATTTCATTCAAATATACATGAAAATGTAACACTCATTTCCATACTCGCACGTAATAAAATAAATTATAAACATGTTTTTCTGTTTTATTGTTATATATGAATACATTTTAAAAAGTTTCCAAGTTACCACGAGTAATAATATGCATTTATAATATAATATTCATTATATGAACTTGTATACGTGAACAATTTTGCTATGACTTTAAAAGTTATAATTTTTCTAAAAATTTTTCTTAAATTTAAAAAACAATAAAAATATATTGGTAACTAATATTTTACTAAGTAGATATTGTAATTTATAAACAATAAATTGAGCATTTAAAATAAAAATCAATATATAATTCAAATTAAAGTAATTTAATTTCCTACATTTACAGAACATAGTGTGTTCTATGCTATTTGTGTGTACCTTGTGGAATTTCAGTTAAGTGATTTTATTTTCCATTTAAACTGAATTTCTCGTTATTATTATAAATTGTACAAAACGTTAACATGTTCATTTCTTTTATAATCCACAAGTAATACAGATATAGGCGATGTAAACAACTGACGACTTAAATTATTTTATTTTCTAAAACTATTACTACATTAATGCAGTTGTTACTTGAAATTTTTAGATGTATATTTGAAATATTTATAAAAATAATTACATAATTATTGAAAACAAAAATGAATACAAAAATATGTATACAAAATGTGTGTATTTAGTGGGATAAAAGAAACAATTAACAATCAAAAGACATTCTATAAAATGAAAATTAGTAGTTTACCACGTAAAATAGACATTCCAGTATGTGACAAAGATACTTGTATAACTAATTGGCTATAATAAAGTTGCTGCCTTTAATCAAACCCACTTTTAATTTTTATAAACTACATGTAACTTTTGTATTGATAAAGGAGACTATTATAAAGGTTTCAAAAGTGCTGACAAGACTGATTTAATGAAAATGCATGTTCAGAGAAAAAACGAACAATAGGCT